TGTTTTGTTTTAATTTTAAGTAGGCTCCACGCCCAATGTGGAGCTTGAACTCATGATCCTGAGTCATATGCTCTACTGACTGAGCCAGGAAGGCGCCCCTTAAATTTGTTTTAGGGGCACCTGGCTCGCTCGGTTGGTAGAGTATGCAACTCTTGATCTCGGGGTCTTGAGTTTGAGCACCACATTGGACAGAGAGATTACTTTAAAAATATATATAATGAGCACTTCCAAGGAAAAATATATATATTTTTTTGCCCGGTGCAATAATCAGCAATTAACTAGACCTGCTACCGATTATATTCCAAAACTCCAGCCCTTATGCTAATGACTTTGGCTACACTCTGCTAGCATTCTATACCCCCTTTTAATACAAGCATATGATAGGGCTGGAATGAAGCGTCTCAGACCTACACAGCAGAGACCACTTACCTCACCAGGGGAGAGAGTAGCCATGGGTGATCCATAGTAATTAATCGATGAGGAAGGGGGCCTAGAGACCCCTCCAAGGTCAAACTTCATTTTTCTTTGTATCTGAGCTTGCTCTTTTTCATTTCATTTTATTCCTCTATTTCATTTTAATCACTGAAGAATTGTGGAAACATAAACCTTTAAATTAATCTGCAGTGTGACTCACTGTGTCTTATTACAATCCTGGGGTATGTGTCTGTGTGTCTGTGTGTTTCAAGGGATTGTAAGAAAGAATTTATGAATTTTAGCTACTCACAACCCCCGCCTAGTAAGCTTGTGGAACATAAAAACATGAGCTCAATTAAAGCATCTAAGAGATCAATAGAGGAGGAGAGAAGCCATTTGATCTACATAGTAACTGTTTATTTCATCTTTTGAGGCTTTGCAGCAGGGGATGGTAATTTAATAAAAATCATCCTTTGTTTGGCTGGATTGAGGAGCATGTACCCCTTTTATAAATGGCATATCCATATGAGATACTTGAAAATAGCAAAGGCATGATGACAAATCTAAAGTGTACATTAAATTTGAACATGCAGCAAAGCCAGTAGTGATGTATATTCTATAAAGAAAAATAAAATTTCACATATGAGCTCTATTTTAAGATCCTACAAAGCCCCCCTCAGTTATTTCCATTTTAAGTTCCTGTGCATTCAGGCACACCAGCTTCTTTGGTTCTAAGGGGGAAAGAATGTATTCTTATGATTTAGATGTTTTTCAGGACCCTAGAGATTTCTGATGATATAATAATAAAAATAATCTCAACTGGAAATCAATGATGGGTGCTCATAAGTAAGCAACATTTCTAGCTATTCTTTCTTTTGTTTACATCCAGACATTTCTGGCTTTTTCTCTGGGTTCCGTTTTGGAATCAATACTCTTATTAGATCTGGCTTATGTTGTCCTAATGGAATTCCGTCTGACTAAGATTGACCCAGGGTGGCTGTACATAATGGTCTCAGCTGGAGCAGAGGGTATAGTAGGGCTTTGTAATTATATTTTTCTGATAGTTCCATAAATTCTCTATCAGTGGATTTTTTAAATTGAGGTGAAGGGCGCCTGGGTGGCTCAGTTGGTTAAGCGACTGCCTTCGGCTCAGGTCATGATCCTGGAGTCCCTGGATCGAGTCCCGCATCAGGCTCCCTGCTCGGCAGGGAGTCTGCTTCTCCCTCTGACCCTCCTCCCTCTCATGCTCTCTGTCTCTCATTCTCTCTGTCTCAAATAAATAAATAAAATCTTTAAAAAAAAAATTGAGGTGAAATTTACACGATATAACATTAGTCATTTTAAAGTGAACAATTCAGTGGCATTTAGCCTGTTCACGGTGCTGTGTAGCTACCACCTCTAGTTCCAAAACATTGCCATCAGTCCAAAATAAAACCCCAAACCCACTGAATAGTTACCTCCTGTTGCCCCCTCTCTTTAGCCCTGGCAACTCCCAATCTGCTTTCTGTTCCAGTGAATTCTTTTTAAAGACTTATTTATTTATTTTAGAGAGAGAGAGAGCGCGCGTGCACAATGGGGAGGGGCAGAGGGAGAGGGAAGGTCTCAAGCCGACTCCACGCCCTAAGTGCGGAGCCCAACACGGGGCTCAATCTCAAGACTCTGAGACCATGACCTGGGCCGAAACCAAGAGTCAGACGCCCAACCAACTGCGCTCAGGCGCTGCCCAATGAATCTTTAAATACATTTTAAAAACTATTTCATGTTTGCATCTGGAGTCATGAATGGTGATTCTGGACTCCCTGCTTGTGTTCATAAGTAAGTTCTAGAAGTTTATCTGCAGGACTAGATGTGACTTGCATTGTGTCTGGAGCTAAAATTTGGACTCTGGTTCCCAGACAATTGCTCAAATCTTGCCCCCCTCTTTAGCCAGTACAGTAAAATGAATTCTAACTATCCTGGATTTATTACCTCTTAAGGAATCGTCCCTTCTGTAATAGCCCCTCATTTCCAGGCCCTTTGATACTGAGCTACAGAGTTCCTTTGCAAAATTATTTTTTAAAACTCCTTTTTAAAAATTAGGTAATAGCACCCAGTTCTATTTAGTTTTTAGTAGGAGGTGACTCAGCTGGGCTCAGAACCCAGTTTTGAGCTGTCACGAACTCACTGCAATGCAGGAAGCTAATAGATTCAGGAGGTCTGCGAAGTGTAGCAGTTTGCCTGTGGGACTTGGTGTTGTCAAAGGTTTCTGGGGCAGAAAAACCTTAAGTAAAACCCAATGAGGAAGGGGGGAAGAAGGTGATAAAAATAAAGATTTTTTTACTCCCTCAAGTGAGAGAACTTTCTTTTATGTATAGAGGCAATATAGGAAAGAGAAGCAAGCACTGCAGTCTGAAGACCAAGGTTCAAATCCCGGCTCTGTTATCCTGTGACATTAGACAAGGGTTTTAACCCTGTCATTCCTAAATACTACCTAAATACTACCTAAAGAGTGGTTGTGAGGTTTAAATGAAATAATTCTGTTTTCTACCTACTACAGTGTCTCACACATGGTAGGCAGGTACTGAATAAATGTAAGCTGTTATGAGTCTCAGGAGGCAGGGGATCTCAATGTCTAATGAATCTGGAAGTGGTATCAGTTATCACTAATGTGCTTTGTGGACAGGCTTCCCCGCAGTCTCAGACTCACTGTGTTGTCCTGTTCTGTCATTAACAGTTGCTGTTGCTTGCTTCCCCTTCCCTTCTCCTCCTTATGATTCTGAACACTATGTTTCCTTGTTACTGTAATTGTCCTGATTTAATAAATATCAACTCCATAAGATGCTTTTAATTCTTTATAAATGAGCTCACAGAAATTAGTGGCAACTCAGTGAAAATAGGAGATACAACTTAGAGCTAGGAATTATATAAATGTAATAAAAGGATGGCAGTTTTGCATCCAGAAGTATCCATTAACAAAATGATATGGTTGGAAGGGGCAACCAATATCTGTATTGCAAACCCCTGTATTGATGAGATTATTATTGTTCCTTAATAGGTCCTAAAAGTTGTTTAATTGTTATAAAACTCTCATTGTTGATGTGGGACTAATATCTCTTTCCCAAGCAGTACGATGAATGTATCTTTGTGTGTCATGCGAGCGCTCTTAACCAGGTGCACTGAGAATGACAATCTCATTCAGGATTCAGCAAGCTCCAGCTTCATACCAGCATCAGTGTATTCCCCTCATTTAGTCTCCATCCTGGAACCTGACATGGCATTAGGGAATCCCAACTTGGAGGCCATGGACTTCTGGGCACCAGAGGTAGGTGGTTCAACACGGGACTCCAAGTCCCCTGGTATGTACAAAGTTTTGTGTATTTTTTCTGGGAAAAGTGTCCATAGTTTTCTCCAAGGGGTCTGTAATCCATAAAGGGTTAAGAATCATTACAGTAAAGGAAAATTCTATTACTGCTGCCTATGTTCTACTTAAACATATGGGTTCTGCAGAAGTATAACCCCATCTTCAAAAAAAGAGAAAAGATTCTGTTTTGAACTGCCTTTTATCATATGCGTTCTGCCACTTCATTCTCAGAAATGTTCAAGTTAAGCTAGTTCAGTCATTATCCAGGCACAGAATATGTTGTCTTGCATCATTTGTTTGATTTGATTTCTCTACTCCCTGCCATAAACTGTCCACTTAATGCATTATGTGTTTCAGACAGTATAAACACATGCAGACTATATACCTCCAAAGCCTTGGCAAGGGGGGAAAAAAACTCTAAATGTGGATGCAAGGAGCAGAGAATATGCAACTCCCAAATTATTTGGGGTACAGCTGTCTCACTAAACCAAAACAGTGCTTCTCTCTCTCTTTTAAAGATTTTATTTATTTGAGAGAGAGAGCATGAACGGGGCAGGGGCAGAGGGAGAGGGAGAAGCAGACTCCCCGCTGAGCAGGGAGCCCATCATGGGGCTCGATCTCAGGACCCCAAGATCATGACCTGAGTCAAAGGCAGATGCTTAACCGACAGAGCCACCCAGGCGCCCCTCTCTGTCTTTTAAGTAAGCTTTAGGCCCAACATAGGGCTTGAACTCACAACCCTGAAATTGAGTCACATGCTCTACCAACTAAACCAGCCAGGCGCCCCCAAAATGGCACTTTTCTCAACTGTAGCAGCAAAAACCACAGAACACAAGTTATGTTGGTGGGATTCGTGTGACTTTTAATTCTTATCTTACTAATGTGTTACAGTAAGTGTGGGGAGTAAAGACAGGGATGGAGTGAGGGAAAGGAAGAAGAGAAAGTATCTTTCCAGTTCCTCGAACCACTGAAGCAGGTCCTAGGATAAGAAAGTCCAGTAAAAGCATCACGACCTGTCACAACAGCACTTGCAATGGAGGTGTGTGACAGAGACACGGCAACTCTTTAGGTCTGCGGGAAGGGACTGCAGGAGAGAATTAGCCCTACATCAAACTTGGCACATGTGGAAGACAGGGCGATGCGGCTGCTAACACGGTTGGGCAGATGAAAAAGCGGACTCTCCAGAGTGTACTTCTTGCGCATGAGTAGGAGCATGGGTGCCCTTCCCCACGCCGAGCAGCGCTGCCTCCCCAGTAGGGAAAGGAGACCCCACCAAGCATGCAGCAATGGGAAAACCGTGGGGCAGGGCTCTTTTAGAAACGAGAAAGATTTTTTGTTTGCTGGTGGTGTTGATTGACCAGAGGCAATTCCTTTTACTTTTGGGCAGTAGCATTGTGTCCTGGTGATAACATAATTATGCTTAGCACTCTTAAAAGGCAGAGGAGAGTGAAAGCAAGTCCTCTTTAGGACCGAGACAGTGGGAAAGGGGCTCTGTGGGTTCTAAGCTTAAGGGCATGAAACAGCTAATTCTAGATCACCACAAACGAACTCACACAGATCAATGAGACCTTGGCTTTTTCCATTCACACAAATACTCACCCCTCTTCTAGCTTCTACTACTAAATCTAAGGTCAGCTTAATCACAGCTTGGGGCACTATGACCGTGTTTCTAAAGTTAAAGTGAACAAACTACATTCTTAATACTTTCCCCCCCCCCCCGCTAATTAAATGGATTTGAATAAGCTGAAAGCCTAAAATCTAGGGACTCTTTTCATTATTTGTTGGGGACAACCCTTAAAACTCATCACTGCCATTTTTCTTTACTTACAGAATTGGAAGGACATGGAATGGGCAGGGAGAAGTCATTACACGAATCACAGAAATGGTCAACATGCATCTAATTTTACCCATTGAACAAAGAGAGCTAAAGGGGGTAAGTTCTTTTGAGAAGAACCTAACTGTGTTTAAGGGGGAAGAATACTACACTAGCCTTTTTTTTTTCCTGAATGGAAGAATAGGATAGATGGAATTGCGAGGGGTAGGAGGAAATGGTGTTAAACAAACACCCATCACTGGTGAAACAGTTTTGTCGGAGTGGTGCCGGATGCGAACCATTGGTTTATCTTTGGCAGTGATCTTATGTTTTCGGTACCTAGAATGAGACTACATAGCTGGATGATGTCTGGGTATAGTGAGCGAATATAAGTTTTAATTTCAATTCACAGCAAATGACGATGATCACAGATTTAGCACCTTAGTTTGTACTTCCTCTGTACCTGAATCATCTAATGCTGTGAAGCCTGAGCTTTAGGTGAGAAAGCTGAGTTCTTAGATAACTCCTCTATGATTTGCTCTAGGACTGCACTTTGCTCCAACCTAAGGGGTGGTTTTCTTATTAGAAAAAGTGAAGTATTCAATGCTAAATAGGAGACTGAAGCCTTGAAGACATTTTACAGTGGTGACAGGTGTTTTGGTTCAGGAATAGGCTCTTTAACAAGTCAAATGCATATTATCCCCTCTTAAGCATTAACTTTTTTTTTTTTTTAGCAACAGAATTATATTTTTTGGCTTGAAGTGGTGCTTTCTTCTATAACTGATTTCTCGGTTTTCTTAGTAGATATTACTGTCTCCTCCAGTATTTCTTCAAAACTTTCCCCTATCTGGGAGGTTTTCTTTGAGGCTGCCTTAGAAGCCTCCTCCCCCTCCTCCTCTTTCTTAAGAGACAGCCCAGTGGATGAGACTTTGGAGGTTGTAGAACTGAGGATTCTAGGTGGGAGCAGATAAGCTGGATTGGGGGGTGGATTCAGCCCTGAAATGCTTAATCCACTGGTGCTAAAACGTGTCTCCTCGCCTTCCAGTAGTTTCCTGTAAATCCAACAGAGAAAATGTCTTAGGAAGTCAACTTGTAACTTTTTTTAAAAAAAGAACTTAACCCTCCAGCTCCTATTCATTTTAGAAAGATACCATAAGACTCTGCAGTTTCTTCGTGAGGTTGAGACCAATAAATATTGACTTCCAAGGTTCAAAGACTTGGAGTTTATTTAGCACATGCATACACACGTGCACGTACATGCATGCTCACGTACACTCACACATCAGCTGTGTTTAAAGCACTATCAAAGGGAAACCTATCCTATTCACAAATATGTTCAAAAAGGAATTTTTGTACAATTCCCCTCAGCCTCATCCACACCCATTTTTAGCACTTAAGAGTCTACAAAGCTCTAGGGAGAAGTAATCTTACTAATTAAAACCTTAAGTGCAACAGGGATAAGGAGGTGAGAAGTCCACAGAGGAGGAAGGAGCTACCTCATTCAGCCTGAACTTGAGATTTGTACTTTTTCAACGTAGAGAAGTACAAAGGGAATGGAACCAGCAACTTCAAAAACCAGTGAGTGCAACTGTTTCAGATACTGGACTTTTTCTCAGCCTAGCCTAACCAGCGTCGTAAGAGTGGCCCCAGTGCCTTGTTTCTCTTATCTCTAATAATTTTTATCATCTTTTCTTTAAAATCAGAAACTCAAGACACTATCAAATACTGTTAGAGTTTTGTTTTGAAGAAGTATACATAGTGTAAAAGAAAAAAAAATTCTCAGATCTGGATTGAAGCTGAGCTCTTCCCTTTACCAGCACTGTGACTCAGAACAAGTTACACAGTCAGTCTGTGGTTCAAGTCTCCTCGTCTGCAAAATGGAAATAATATGACCGGATACCTAGATAATTTAAATACAGTATCTACTAGAGTGCCTGGCACATAGTAGCCATTCAAAAAATAGTAGCTACTGTTATCACCTTTTTTTAAGGTAAATATTCACTTGAACATTGAGTAGAAATTCAGAGGGACACCTCACCTATTAGGACATTCTATGTTGTATAAGCCCTATTTTTAAAAGTTAGAGTCTGATGGGTTTTAGTTCAACCTCTGCATACTCAGGTTATCTCCTTCAATCCTAGCAGAGGTAGGTAGACTACCCCAGGACTAGTAAGGTGGAGTTGGGATATAAAGAAGCTGAGGGACAGAGGAGTCAGCTCTCCTGGAAGGGCCGGGGATGACTTTCCTCAGCCCTTCACGCATCAGAAATCAGAGAGACTATAAAACCACTTATCCACTTATTTGGGTAGCTATGCCCCAGGTGCCCGGATCTGCGTGGGTGAGGGTGAGCATGCCCTTTGAAATACCTGTAAGCTGCTATCTCAATATCAAGAGCCATTTTGACATTGAGCAAGTCCTGGTATTCCCGAAGGTGGCGCGCCATCTCACTCTTGGTGTTCCTCAGATCATTCTCCAGCTGCCCAATGCTATCCTGAAAAGTGACATATCCAACATATTTGAACCAGGTGAAATTCAATGAGATTTCCACAAAGCAAGGACTCTCAACCCTGACTACACATTAAAAATCCAGGCCTGTCCCCCACCCCAGATTCTGATTCATTTGTTCTGGGGTGGGGTCCCAGAATCTGCATTGTTTCATAAGGTCCCCAGGAGATTTGGATGCATGGTAAGGGTTGGGAACTTCTACTGTGTGGCACATGGTTCTCCAATGCACACCAGGGAGATATTTTCTCTCTCTCTCTTGTTAAACTTATACCTGAAACTGATACACTGTATATTAACTGACTGGAATTTAAGTAAAAACTTAAAAAAAAAAAACCTTACTTCTCATCAGTCCCTTGCTTGTTGTATTCCTGCTGAATAATTCAGTTGTTACATGTCCTTGCCAAAACCCAAAGCCTCAGGTTAGGAGCTTAGACTCAAAATTCCAACTGTGAAAAGCACAGAGAGGACAGCAAGTCTTCTCTGCCTCCATTCGTCTTGATGGTTTCCTCAAAGTCTGCTACTCAGTCACCTTACTGAAAGCATCTTATGTAATGGATAAGGAGGAAGCAGAAACACTCCATGGAATTTTTTAAATCCAAATGGCAGATTGAAATTATATTTTTAAGGAAGAAACTAGGGGGCACCTGGGTGGCTCAGTCGGTTGGGCAGCCGGCTCTTGATTTCGGCTCAGGTCACGATCTCCGTGTCGTGAGATCGAGCCCTGCGCTGGGCTCCACACTCACTGTAGAGTCTGCTTGGGCTTCTCTCCCTCTGCCCCTCCCCCCACTTGAGCTTGCTCTCTCTCTTTCCCCCAAATAAATAAATCAAATCTTTTTACAAAATAAAAAGAAAAAAGAAACTAGGTCCATATAACAGTTTTATTCCAAATTCTTTCAGGTGCAAACCCAGACATAGAAGAAAAATAGCTTAAAATTTTTTCTTAAGATTTATTTATTTGAGAGAGAGAGAGAGAGCACAAGCAGGAGGGGGAGGGGAGAGGGAGAGAAACTCAAAGCAGACTCCTTGCAGAGCTCAATGCAGGGCTCGATCACATGACCCTGACTGAGATCACCACCTAAGCAGAAACCAAGAGTCTGAGGCTTAACCAACTGCGCCACCCGGGTGCCCAAAAAATAGTTTTAAATTTTTGATTCTTGAGTAGCCAGAGGGTCTTTTAAACTTTCTAAAAAAAATTTATTTATTTGAGAGAGAGAGAGCGTGTGTATACACACTCGGTTCCGGGGCGGGGGTAGTGTTCACGTGGAGGAACAGAGGGAAAGAATCTTCAAGCAGGCTTCCCACTGAGCGCAGAGCCTGACTCCGGGCTTGATTCCATGACCCATGAGATCATGACCTGAGCCGAAACCTGGAGTCTGAAGCTTAACCGAATGAGCCATCCAGGTGCCCCCAGAGGGTCTTCTAAAAACACAGCAGATCCAGTTGCTCACCTGCTTGAAACCCTCTAACAGCTTTACAATCAAGTCCAAACTCCTCAGCATGGCCTATACTATTCCCCCTTGCTCGAAATGTTTCAGCTACTCTGGCTTTCTCTTTTGCTCCTTAAACTATCTAAATTCATTGCTGCCCCAGGCCCTTTAGGCTAGCTATTTCCTCTGGAATGTTCTGTAGTGGGTCTTCTGTGACCGACTCTGAGTCATTGAAGATTCAGTTCAAATGCCCTGTACTCAGTCTTCCTTTGTGTCCAATTTAAGTAGCCTTTCCACACGGATCTAGCATGCTAGTGTACCTCAAGCCAGGACAGTGGCCCGTGAAGGGGCTTTGTGCAAATGAGAAAAGAGCACCTCCAGCGGGAGGACAAATTAGAAGAAAGCACACACTTGAAAGTGGCCACTCTGTTCTTAGCTCTTATCATTATCTGAAATTTTCTCATTCTTTTATTACTTTACTAGTTTATTTTCTGTCACCTTCCTCTATCTCATGGTTTTTCCCCCTAGGCACTGTTGACATTTGGGGCTGGATGATTCTTTGCAGTGGGGGTTGTTCTGTGGATTGTAGGATGTTTAGCAGCATCCCTGACCTCTACCCACTAGTAGCACGCACCCTCCCTCCCAGTGGTGATAACCAACAATGTCCCCAGACATTGCTCAATGTCCCCCGGAAGGCAAGTCACTCTTGTCAGAGAACTCCTGCTCTAGAATGTAATTTACATGGAAACGGGGACTGATTCTGTTTGGCTAACCCCTGGGAGCCCAGAGCCTAGCACAATGCACACTGTAGATGCTCCGTGAGTAATCGTTAAATGAATGAACGGTGCTACACGAGCGCTTCTTTTCCTCTGTCCTGAAAAGATGTGAGCAAATAACCCATATAATATAGCTGCAAGTCGACATGAAGAACACAGCAATTGAGAGAACTTTTGTGAAACAGTGATGCAGATGAACATCAGAAACCTCAAGAAGTAAGTGGTGAGGGGCCCTTGTAACTTCCCGTGTGGGGATGATGAAGTGATGGTGGAAAGCAGCGCTGATAACATCAGGGGTGGGGGATGTGCAAAATTCTAAATCAAGAGAATCTGCAGAAAGAATGAAAATTCATACCTCCTACCTGTTCTATAAATATTGACGGGAATGCCGCAAAGGAGAGACTCAATTAACTGGTGGGTACAGAGCAAGGAATGACAAGCAGTGGGGGAAATACATATTACATGGACAGTGATGGAAATATTCCAAAGTGTGTTAGGAGATCATTAGGGCTTAAAATGATTTCTACCAAACATTTAACTTGATGGTTGTTAGTTGAGGTTAAACTAACCTACAAGCAAGTCTGCTGGTGAGGCACTGGGGTAAGAGAAGCAATATTACTGTGGTAAAGGGGAAAGGGAAAAGGGGAGGAAGATTTCTCAGTACGCAAAGGACAGGAGAAATGAAATCGGAGGAAAAGAGGAGGATTTCATCAGGATCTTTGGGTTGCATTTCTTGCCCTGCCTCAAATATCCAACACACCACCGTCAGTTTTCTATATTTTAGTTTCTTCAAAATTTCCATTTCTACATATGGAGAATTATAATATTTATTCTTTTCTGAGGTGTTCTGAGATCCTCAAGTTAGGATTCCAATTTAAGGCACCTCACATTATTATATGAATCCATTATTTGTTAAATTAGATAACAGGCATTCAAACAGCACTTGTCACATAGAAGTTGTGCAGTAAATTATTGTTATAGAGTCATACCATGTGACTCTATGCCCTTTTTAATCATATGGACAAATTAATCATGAGCCCTCCCTACAACCCCTTGGATTACTAAGGAAAGCAACGTATAATAAAATGTTAATATTAGATAGTTGAAGGCATATTCCTTAAAGCACCAGATTTTTTTAAAATAATGATTTTGAATTAAAAAACCTTTCTAAAGGGGCTTGTACCATTTTTTAAAAATATTTATTTATTGAAGTAATCTCTACATCCAACGTGGGGCTCAAACTCAGGACCCTGAGATCAAGAGCAGCACACTCCTCCGACTGAGCCAGCCAGGTGCCCCATGGGGGGTGTACCATTCTTAATTAGGACATAAACATAATGCAACCTTTCTTAGCAACTACAGGTTATGATAATGATCAATTATTTTTCTATAATTCTATGATGTCCTTTATCTTTCAGGTCAACGGAGGTATATCAGACTGTTTATTTCTACCCTAAATGGCCCCAAAGAGCAGTGTTTGCATTAGTGCTTGCTACTTATTGGTTTTCTTTGTTCTGAAAGTTGAACTAATGCTACTGGTTCTCGATGATGCCTGATTCCATTGGTCCCTCTTCTCTATCTTGCAGCATGCTTAAAATTCAAAAGACAAAGTGCTTTAGAATCATGTAAAGTAAGAATGAATAAGTTAGGGGCATCAGAGGGGTCAACTTCCCAATATGTGATTTGGACATGGACGTTTTGTCTCATCAACAGGTTAATAAGGTCCTTTTTAAAACAATATTTTTGTTTCAGAGCTGTGTTTGCTGACTAAAAGGTTGTTGGGAGCTGAGTTCTAGATAGAAGAGATTTCCTTGAGTTTGTATGTTACACAGTTCACATGTCTGTTTTATGGATCAGAGTAGACAATAAGCATGACTCTGCTCCTTTCAAAAGGAACTGAGCTGACTGCTGACCATTGCTCTTCTACGTCTAGTCCCTTTGTTTGTGCTCTCTTCAGCCCACACCAGACTGTCTCGCACTGCCCTTCAAAAGCCCTGCCAAAGATGGCCTCCAGCTGGAAATCTGAGCAGAGCGCTGCAGTCTACCCCCTCCCCCAACCATGCAGCTGCTGCTGGCTTAGCCTGAGGGAATGGCAGAGGCACTCCCAGTTCCAGCTGGGGTCTCTCCTGGAGTAGTAGCTAAGATAAGTGCTGAGCATCTTCCCAAGGGCTGGGAGGATGCAGGCCAGGAATAAGAGAAAGACCAGGCCACCCAAGCATCTGCAGTGGAGAAAAGGAACTACAGACAGTGCTATGGATTTCATCACTTCTGGGAGCCCTCAGCCAGGTGAGCAGAAGTAGTGAGCGTAGCACAGTCTGAAAGAGCTCCTCCAGAATTACTGGGCGAGGAGGGAGGATGTTTATATGTGGACCACCCATATGTCTTATTCTCCCTACTGTCTTTGCTTGCTTGCTTCCTTCCTTTCTTTTTCCCTACCATACTTTAAAATCTTGCATTATATGAGCTGGTTTATATTGTGAAATGTAGTTTAGGTTAGTGTACCCCCAAATCAGCCCGGGAACAATAGGATGCAGCACTTTTACTGAAAATGCATTTTGCTGGGCCGCTCCTGTGAACTACTGAGTTCAAATCTTTGGGAGTAGGCCTGAGAATTTTTTTTTGTTAAGCTCCTGAGTGATCTTGGTGGATCAATGGGTCTAGGAACTACAAGTTTCAGTTTATTTCTGTAGAGGAGTTATCAAGGTGGCCTTGGTGACAGTAATACAATGAGACAGGGAGGGGCAAAAGCAAAACTAAGAACACATGGAAGAGTTAAAAAGAAAAAAGGACCGAATGTAGTTTCTTCTTGAATTCTAGTTTCAGAGATAAATCTATCAAGCCATACATTTATATGCGGCTACTGTCACCCCCCAGTCTCCAAGGGGCCAGCCCCTTTTTGCTCTTTCATTCAGTTGTATTCCAATCTCATACTGGAGGGAAGAGGGCAGACTTGGCTCCTCTCCCTGGGGAACATTAACTAATGGTGAGCTTGATTATTCAGCAAGGTCTTGCAAGGAAAGCTTTGGTTTTCCAAGACTGACCATAGTACAGGGCCAGGGCCTCCAGTATCCTGCAAAAATACCCTTAGGCATCTTTGCTAGAACAGGGCCTCTAATGGTGGTAAAGCAGCTATGCAGGAACCAGATTCACCCCGGGTCAGAAATGGAAAAGTGTTCAGCTATAGAGGGTGGCTACATTTGGCTTTTGAAGACAATGGCCCTAGCTCTTCATAATTTCTCCTGTCGCCTGATTTAGACTCTCTCATATATCATTGTGTACTTACTATGTCACCTTGAATCATTCTTTACCCTTTCAAAAATGTAATAAGCTTTCTGTCCTTGAATAGGCTGTCAGCATTCTGGGCAGGGGAAATGTGACTTTAATGGGGCTTTCCTCTGTCTCTTAGAGGGTGGCAAGCTTGCAAAGGAAAATGGGCCTATCACTAATCTCTGAAGCAGAAGAAAGAGAACAGCCTCCCATTACTGCAGTGGAAGGGGAGGGGGGAGAGGGCAAGAAAACAATGGCTGAATCTCACTGTGGAGAAGGAGGCTTTTCATCTTGGCCAACATTGCTAAAACTGTTAGAGAAAACAGCCAGAGGATACCCTTGTGACTGCAGGCCTTCAGGATCAGCAGGTGAGGATGTGAGCCCCTCCTCAGGCCTGAAGTCCCAAGGGGTAGGAAATAGCTTTCTGTTGTCTCATCTGGTCTTGCATTCCACCAGCATGTCCACTGAGGCTCTGAAGGCTAACTCGGACAGGGGCACACTGCAGAGCTGCAGATGCCGCAGTTTCTGTAGGGTTGTTTGTTTGTTTCCTGCAGACTGTGTCTGGATGACCCTACTATTGTCTGACACTGAAAGTCTTTTAAAGCAAACAAAACAAGTCAGACAATACTGTTACTACCTCTTAGAATGTCAGGCTATACCAAGCAAACAGAGGGCATGGCAGAGCCCAATTCAGATGGAAGTTGTAGTTGTAGATAAGTTAGCCTTTTTTTTTTTTTAATTTTTGTAAAATATTTTATTTATTTATTTATTTGAGAGAGAGAGAGAAACAGCATGAGAGGGGAGAGGGTCAGAGGGAGAAGCAGGCTCCCCGCTGAGCTGGGAGCCTGATGTGGGACTCGATCCCAGGACTCTGGGATCATGACCTGAGCCGAAGGCAGTCACTTAACCAACTGAGCCACCCAAGGCGCCCAAGTTAGCCTTTTTTGTAGAAATACTGGGCTAGCCCTTCAGAAGACCACCTAGCTCATCTTTTGAGGCTTCTAGAAGAACACATGAAATCTCAGTTAACTAAATGTGATTAATTCAGGCCATGCAGGAGCTAGGCCACACAGTGAAAAATTCAAGTTACAGCTTTTGAAGCAGAATAGATGTATTTACTTGAATAGTTCTGTAATTCCAAATAACCAAAACAAATGGTCCAGGCAAGCTTTCTTCTTTTAGCAAATGGGGCAGTTTATAATGGACAATAAATACCTGCACACCAATAATAATTCTTTAGCTGTACACTGAAATAGTACTTCTGAGGTTTTACTCCTTTCTTGGTTCTATTTTATTAATGTTCCCAAACCCTATTAATTTCATCAAATGTAAACTTCGATCTAGGCCAGAATGAATTATTGCAAATTTCTGAATTCTTACCATCCTACCCAATGAAGCTTTGATCGGACCTTGAAACTGAACCACACTACTTAGATTCCTTTCTTTTCTCCTGCCTCTGTACCCTTTGTGGTCATAAGCCCAGAATGCCCTATATAGTAAAACTGAAGATGCAGTGGCCTTTGTTTGGAGAGAAAAGGAAGAAAGATCCAATCAATACCCTCATAGGCGCTTAGAGGACATGCAAAGATGTAAAAAATAAGTGGCCTATAACAAAGATAAAATCACCCATCTCTGTGATTTATCACATGCATTGAGGATGGAAAATTGTTAAAGAGATGTGAATTTTCAAGTGGGACCTCACTGCTGCTGAGCAGATTAAGTGGTTTTTGCTAAGTGCTAAGCCATCCATGACAGTGAAAATTGATGCTGTCCCTGAGGTGACCTTTGATTGCAGGTAGCCAAGACTGATGTGATGGTGTTGCAGAAGAAACACACACACACACACACACACACACACACACACACTAAAGCAGTTAATTGCCTTGAGAGTCATAACTAGGACATGAGACGGGAAACACATCATTTCTGAGATGGAAAGAACTCTAGATCAGCACCGAGGACAGCGCCCCGACCATTCCCATTTGAAGCTTTCTAAAGAAATATCAGCAGTAGGTAGACACGGAAACTGTGTGTGTGTGTGTGTCTGTGTGTGTCTGTGTGTGTCGGGAGGGGAAGAGGGTAGAGAAGGGCAGTTGTAACCAGCCCAATCACCCAGCTCCTTGGCTCCCAATCTCTACTCTTTTGAAGACAAAAGTCAAGAAAATGATTGGGCGGAACCCTTCCCAGTTCAGTCCAGCATTCTTCTCTCTAGCGCAGACCATACTCCATAAATATCAATTCCGGGGCGCACAGAAAGCCTTTCAAAGTCAACCAAACAATCCAGACAGCCGAGACAGCGCTGCCAACATGAGAGACTGTAACCCAATTGCATTGGGTTCACTCCTACTTTGGGTGGGGGACTGTTCTTCAGGTCACCGGGGTGTTTATGTCCACTTGCGGACAGGGAGGCATGAATTAGATTTTTGGATTCTGAAAAACATAAGCTTAAGGGTGTTTTCTAAAAGGGCTCGGACAGGGACATGACGGGCAAGGAAAGAGGGTGACTAGGACTTTAGAATGAATAGTGTAGAGTCAAGGGCTTTTTGTTTGCCAGTGCATCCAGTTGGGGTTCTTCCCCCCCTCCTCTCAGTTCCTAGGGCCCCAACTGTGTGGGAAGGCGCAGGTAGGTGGGGGAGAGAATAGGGCGCCCCTCCCTTTGCAGCGTTCCAGCCCTTACCTGGTAGCTAGCCACCTCTGCACTGTGCCGCTCCTCCAGCTCCAGGATCTGCCTCTCCAAGGACTCGTTGGCCCCACGCAGCCCCTCAATCTCGATGGTGCGTGCCTGCAGCTGACGCCGGTATTCGTGAATCTCCTCGCGGCTTGCCCGGATGGCCTCGGTGCTGCGCGCTGCCTGCTCGTTCAGGTTGGCAAACTTGGACTTGTACCACTCCTCGGCTGACTGGAGGTTCTTGGCAGCCAGGGACTCATATTGGGCGCGGATCTCCCTCAGCGCCGAACTCAGGTCTGGTTTGGCCACAGCCACATCTACCTCGGCCGCGGCCTGCGACGATGCCTGCAGCGTGGCCAGCAGCTCGGCCACCTCCTCGTCGTGCACCTGGCGCACGAAGGCCAGCTCGTCCAGCAGCGACTCCACCTTCTTCTCCAGGTCCAGGCGGGCCAGCGTGGCGCCGTCCACGTCGCGCTGCTGCGCCTTCAGGGCGCGTTCGGCGCCTTCGCGCCCTCGGCTTTCCTCCTCGCAGCGCGCCCGAAGCCGCTGCACCTCCTCGGCCAGCCCGTCGCGCTCGAGCAGGGCCTGCGCGCGCGCCGAGCTCGCTTCCTCCAGCTGCGCGCGCAGGTCGCGCAGCTCGCGCTGGAAGAGCTCGCCGACGCGCGACGGTTCGGCGTGGCGCTGCCGCAGCGCGGCCAGCTCGGCCTCGAGCGCGCGGTTCTGCGTCTCCAGCTGATGCACCTTCTCGATGAATACTGCGAAGCGGTCGTTGAGGCCCTGCAGCTGCTCCTTCTCATTGGTGCGGATGATCTTGTACTCGTTGGTGCGCGCCGCCGCCTGACTCAGGTCCAGCCCGTCGGACGCCGGGGGCCGGCGGTAGGCCAGGCCCAGGCCAAGCGACGAGGCCGAGGAGCAGGCGGCCGAGGAGGTCACATTGCAGCGGGATAGAGACTGCGAGCGGAAGCTACCCGCGCCACCCGCGCTGGAGAGGCGCGAGGACAGGCGAGAGCCATCTCCAAACACCTTGCGGTAGGAGGAGGAGGCGCACAGGTAGTGCTCCGAGCCGAAGCTCATGGTGCCGGGACCAGGGCCGGGAGAGCGGCTGCGGCTGACGATAGAGAGAGAAGAGGTGCGCCAGACGGGGCGCGGCTGGGCGGTGTGCACCGGGTTTTAAGGCGCCGGGGATGGGGCGGCGCGTTGGGGGCGGAGCTCCTGCTCCGGGTCTGGTGGAGAGAGGGAAGGGGGGCATCCAGGAGCGGGGGCGGGGAAGCGCAGTGACAACTGCAGCTGCGCGCGCGGCGGACCTAGGTCGCGGAGACAAAGCGATTTGCGTAGAAGACGCTCCCTGTCCGTAGCGCCCCTCCCCAGAATTGTCGGGTTTGGGAGTGTCTTGAGCGGAGAGGTGCCTAAACGACTAGGGTTTCCCATCCGGAGACCACCCGGCTCTGTCGTTTACCTTGAGCCTCTCCTCCTTGCCCCCTTTAACCCACCCGGAGTTAGGGTTTTCTGGGAGGTGTCCGTACGTCCGCCCATCCCTCCCCGGGAGCTCCTGAGGGTCAGGCCCTGTTTTTCCAGTTAGAGTGGGGACTTTGTCTCTTCCCTCAGGCTTTGGTCCCTTTCCTCAGCCAGCTCGGGGTTCCCAGGGGGTAGAGTGGGTCTACGTCAGAGAGCATCTCATCAGCTGTTCCTCTGCAGCTCTCGGAAGCGCCCAGGGCGGGTGGCTGGGTGGAATGCTTGTGACGCCCGGGAAAAGAGGGTAGATAGATAAAAGAACACGAGCCTGAGTTGCAGAGAGTAGAAGGAAGCGCAGGAAACAGGTCGGATGGCTGCAATGGGCAAAACTGAAGTGCCCCTGACATTTGTATAAGTAAACGGGTTTCCCATCGGCAGACCACACGGCTCTGTCGCTCCCCTTGACCCGTCCTCCTCGCTTTCACCCAGAGTTAGGGTTTTTCTGGGAGGTGGCCTGTATGCCCATCCCCACCCCAGAGCTCCCGATGGGGATGGGTTCACCACAGCCCCCACCACTCTCCATTGAATAACGCCCACCTTCTTAATTCATTTACTTTACCCATCTGGCCAGGTAGGTATTAGAGATTTCAGGCTGTGTAAATCCTCATCTGGTTTAGGAGCGCCCCTTCCTGTGGAGATCTCTCTTTGAACAAAAGAGGCCTCTGCAAACATTAAACTCCAGGAGTCGGAAAGAGTGCGGGCCACAGGGCAGGCCTCCTACAACACAGGGTGGGGGTGGGGGGTGTCAAAGAATGGAATCTGGAGAGATGAAGGCTGGAAGGAGTCAGTGTCGAATTTGTAGTGTGCATCACCTTCTAGCTCATAGTATATCTCAGGATGTGGCTATGGCTTAGGAGAGGGAGTAGGAAGACCTTTTTAGTAGACTCCAGAATTCCAGACTGAAGGCCTTTTTGATTTGGAATCTCAAGGATGTAGTTCTAGGACAAGTTTTAACTTCACACGGGGAAATAGTACCTGAGACAGGCCACTAAAGGAAGGGAGAAGGGGAGTCCTATGGGACTTTGGAACGTATTTCTTGGCTTTATGCTTGATGTCGTGGAAGATAGTCAGGCCATGCCACAGCCTGTCCCCCTGGTTCATTATCACAGACCAAGACCTGAGCTTAATTCTGTGTTCACTGGGCTCAGAAATACCTGGTGAGGTGAAGGATGGAAGAGTGCTAGCTAACACTACAGAGTGATGACCCTCAGCTACCCGTTGTGCCAGGACTTTTGCATGTAGGTTTACTTCCTTCTGACCACTCTTCAGGGTAGCCCTTTACCCCCATCTTAGAGATCAGAAACCAGGGCTCAGCTGCAGCACTCTGCACAAGGTCACTAGCAAGGAAATATACATTGTTTCCTCACTACATAATTCTACTTCTTAGAGCAGTGAGGCTCTTGAAGTCTGATTAATTTCCATGCAGCCAGCATAAGGCTAATAAGTGGGCTTCCAAAGAATTTTGGCCAATAACAAAGTAGCAGGCTGGTTTGTAATTCAAAGAATCAGAGGTGATGGGTTTGAATTGTGGCTTCGGCACTTACCAAGCTTGTAGGAACAACAACACCTACTTCCCAAGGTCGTGAAAGAGTGAGTTGATGCATGTGAAGGTGCTTTGTAAGCTGTATAGGTATAAGGGGTTTTTGTCTTCATTGTCCTCTTTCAAATAAAGGGACATTGCTTCCCATCTACCATCAACAGGATATGAATTGGGGCTAGTGATGGGGCTGCAGGAAACTGTCCACCATTTCCTTCCACAGGCCTTCAGGCTGCCCCTTGGCAAAGAGGACACAGCCAACCTTGATTAGGGTACCTGAGGCCAGCATGAGTGTGGTGAGTAGAAACAGCCACAGATAACTAGATCTTACTTCTGGGCTCTAGTTCCAGTCTCATTTCAATTGAGAATAACGCAGGAGAATAATTCCTCTTATTCAGGATTGAATAACTAAAAATCAGCAAAATGTCCTGGTTCGAGTTTTACCTTTCTTTCTCTTTCCATCCTCCAATAGAAACAGTACTCCAAAGGTAAAACACACACAAAGCAGAAGTGAGGCAAAAGGCCTGAATAATCCAACAAAGGGGTAGTGGTCTGCAAAATCTAGAGTGGGCTGCATTTTGTAATTTCTAAACAGTTTGTCTTAGATTCCAAACTGAGATTCCACCGTGGGACTTGTACCTCCCCTTTCTTGGCATACCACCCCACAGGCCCAGATGTTTGGCTTTAATATTTTTAGCACAACGTTCTATTACCAAGGAGTGATCTTGGCTAAGCCTCAAACGACAGTTTCTTCCAGCTGGCCAGTTTTCTTGAGGGAGTGCCCTGCCCTATGCAAAGGCTGCGTCTTCATCTTCCTATAATGTCAGACCCAGGCGCTGCAGACACATGGGTTAGTCATCCCCAGGTTCTCCCTCATGCTACATCCTCTGTGGCCTCTCTGTAGCATTTGGCAGTGCTCACTACTCACCTTGGTTTCGAAGATTCAGTTTTTGGCCTTCTGCACTTCCCTCATAAACTCTTATGTCTTGCAGAGGCAAGGAGGCTTGTGGTAAAATTCTCTCCCTGAGGGATCTAGTTTTGCATCATGGCTCTTTCTAGCCATGGGACTTTGAGTAAATCACTGTTATTTGCTGAACCTTAGTTTCTTTATCTGTAAAATTTCAATGAAACTAGCCACCCTGAGTGGTTTCCAAACCTGACTGCTCATTAGAAGTCCCTGGGTACTTAAATTCAGATTCTTGGGCCTTATCCCAGACCCTTGAATTTAGTTCTGAGAAGCCTTGACCTGCCTCTCATGAGATTTCCCTGAGGTTTAAATGAGAATATATACAGAGTGGGTATACCGTGCCTGCCATGTGCATGCTCAATAAATGATGGCTATTAGAACTATCACCTTCTTTATTCATTCTGCAAATATTTCTGAGTACAAGGCACTAGACTAGGTGCTAGGAATAAGGCAGACATGGACTCTGCTCCATGAGACTGGAATCCTAGCAAGACAGATAGAGATTAAACAACGAATTACACAGTGAATTATTAATTATAATTGTGACAAGTGCTCTGAAGGAAAGTCCAAGTTGCTGTGGGGTGTAAAACAAAAGGCCTGACCTATGCTGATGATGCTCAAATCCTTATTTCCAATTTCCAACTTTAACCTCACATCTCCAACTGCCTGTTGGACATCTCCTCATCAATCCTTGCTGATCTTCAAGTACTATATATCTAAAAGTGAACTTATCTAGCCTTTAGCCTCTCCACCCCAGCCCACTTCTTGATGTTGACTTTTCTGTCCTACCCCTGTTTCTCCACTTGTGCAATTCTTTCTTCCTGGTATTTCCTTCTCTGCGCCTACTTCAACTGTTGAAATCCTTAAGGCTCAAATGCCACCTCCTTCATGAAGCCTTCCCTGCTATTTCAGAAGTAAGGTGATGCTTCCCTCCCATGAATTCAACTCCTCCTACCCATAGACTTCAATTGCTCACATGACTAATAATTACCTACCTGCTGAGCCAGGTACCCCTACCTACCCTCTTCTGCTGTTAATTATTTGTGTGCTTGTCTAAACTTAACTGAAAGTACCTTGAGCACAACTCTTCTTCTACATCTGTGAAGCTCTCTCAACATCTATCACAGTATTAAACACATGTAAGGTGAAAAAAATGGTTGAAAATTCTTTTTCGGGGGTGCCTGGGTGGCTTAGTTGGTTAAACCTCTGCCTTTGGCTCAGGTCATGAACTCAGGGTCCTGAGATCGAGCTCCACATTAGGCTTCCTGATCAGCGGGGAGTCTGCTTCTCCCTCTTCCTCTCCCTCTGCCCCTAACCCTGCTTGTGCTCTCTGTCTTCCTCTCCCTCTCAAATAAATAAATAAAATCTTTAAAAAATTCTTTTCTGTACAACTACTTGGGAAGAGTCTTTGGCATGACACCAAGGGCACAACCCTTAAAAGAAATCAATAGATTTGACTTCATCAAAACTAAAAAATTTTTTGTCTGCAAAAGACCTTATTAAGAAGATAAAAAGAAGAAGATGATGATGAAAAGACAAATCATAGACTGGGAGACAATGTTTGCAAATCATATGTCCCACAAAGGATTTGTATCCATAATATATAAAGATCTCTAAACACAGCAGTAAGAAACATTCCAGTTAGAAAAAACCTATATTACCAAAGGGAATATAAAGATGGCATATAAGTATATGAAAATATGTTCAATATCACTAGCCATTAGGGAAATGCAAGTGAAAACCCCAATGGTATATACTATCTACCTACTAGATAGGTGGCTATCTACTGGCTGAAACAAAATATTGACAATACCAACTACTTACAAGGATTCAGAGCATCCGGATCTCTTATCTGTTGCTGGTAGGATTGTAAAATGATACAACCACTCTGGAAGACATTTTGGCGGTTTCTTATGAAGTTAAACATACGTTTACCATATGACCCAGCAATCTCACTCTGAGTATTTAGCCTAGAAAAAAATGAAAACCAGAGCACCTGGGTGGCTCAGTTGGTTAAGAGGCTGCCTTAGGCTCAGGTCATGATCTCAGGGTCCTGGGATTGAGTCCTGCATCAGGCTCTCTACTCAGCAGGGAGTCTACTTCTCTCTCAGCCCCTCCCCACCCAACTCATGCTCTCTCTCTTTCTCAAATAAATAAATAA